CATCAGCAGCGTTGACGCTGGAAGCGAAAGCCGCGACAACGGCGGCGAAGAGTTGGTACTTCATAGTGGAAAGTTATCGAGTCGAAGATAAAGAATGGATAGCAAACACAGTTTGCTGAAAAGAATGACAGGTGATGAATGAGAGAATGAGAGAATGATGCTAAGAACTGGATGATACGGTATCCGGTGGCTGACCCGTTCCTTTATATCTCGTAGGATTCTTGGCTGGTGTTTGAAGCACGCCCCACTCACTCTACCTACGGGGGTATGTTCCTTTCGAGCATGCACCTGAACCCTGGATGCCGTTCATCACCGACGGCAGTGGGTATCGGACAATTCGAATCGCTACTAGAAGCCAGGACGCGCATACCAGTGCCTGGAGCGGGCGGAAAGATACTTCCACCACCAAAGAGTCATGAACATGTCGGCAGTGCGTAGTTTGGTGCTCATGCTTCCATGGATAGGTTGCTTGACGGGCGTTTACAAACAGAATGGCGTTGCGGAAGTAGCTTCGCAACGAGTCTAGTCCCGGCAGTCCCGCTGTTGTCGTTTCATGAACATAACAGGGCAGCCACTAGCTCCACAAAACCGTGCCCGGGCCAGACTCGACGGAAACATATTGATTAAGCTTATCCGACATAAGATGACAGGACTGCCCCTTGCGGGAGGGTAGAAGACCTGGTCTGTGGCTCATGAGGCTGAGCTTTGCGAAATCCCAGGGTTCTGTAGGAATGATTGTTCCGATAGGTGGAATCTGCAAGCAGCAACCAGGTTTGTCAGAGAGCGCAAGGCTGACGAGAGATGAAATGTGATGAACAAGAGGAGAATACAAGACTAATCAAGCATTGCCTGAATCGTTCTTCATCATTGCGAATGTCGTTGGTTGCAGTGGTGACGCGATCAGTTAGCGCTGTCAGCTGTCACGGTTAGCAAGCGCGCCATCCACCAAAGATTCCCGGGTTGGTGGACGCGCAAACTTTCCATCTTTAAGTTTACTTCCCGGCTATAGAACGGGTGGTGGGAGACAACATCGCACGGACGGGTTGTGATGGTGATGGTGTTGAAGCATCGAAGATGGCGGACTGGTGAGGCTTGGTCCGATGCGACACTAGCGCGTTTTACTTGCGGTTAGACGCCCACCACGTGGTTCTGCATGACGCCTTTCCCTACTCTCCAGTAGCTAGCCACGACAACGAAATGAAGCGACTCGCAGCCTGAACCTCTCCTCTGCGAGACTGCATAACCCAATTGCGCAGCTCAACGTCAACTAATCACTAGATTGTGGTGCTTCCACGCGTTTCCCAGCAGCATGTGGGACCAACCACACAAGAGCAGCCGAAGCCGTCAGAAGCAGAGCAGCTCACACCGTGCAGCACCGAGATATAGTGGCCAAGTCCCGCGTAGTTACCGGGATACCCAGCATTCAGAAAACTACGTCTCGTCGCCCACGGATTCGAGCTCGGACTACGACACCCCACGTCGTGGATACTACGAAGATTTACCCCCCAATCATAGGCGATATGCGAATCGGGATATGGCATCCGAATACGCTACGCAGAGAAGAGAACCAAAGGACGTGTACGGTTTCTCACAGCCTCGCCCAAGGCATCAACCACGACCACCTGGGCGGCCACAGTATCGGGCTCAGTCTTCAGATCCAGACTGCATCGCACAAGATTCTCAGTCTGACGAAGATTACATAGCCACGCCTGAAGTGAAGAAAGATGCTTGGAAAGATCGTGGGTCTCGCTACGATGACACAGACGATTCCCTGGGCAATGGCTCACCGACCCGCCACCCTCCTCGAGAGAACTACAGTGATAGTCCCCCCTCAGACTACGCTCCTCATCCCAAAGCCAAGTCCGAAGATCGGAGGGTAAAAGCAGGCTGGGGCAATAGTGATTCCTTCAGCCAACCACCCCGCCTGAACCCTAGGGCACACGAGAACTACCGCGAAGCAAAGCAATTTCTCGACCGCTTCCAACAGCTCCACACTCATACAACGGATCGGTCCGACACCGAATCCTACAGCGATGGCAGCCCGGCGAAACGCAACCCAGTGAATCGCCAAGCTAGATTTTCCGGGCGATACCCAGACCCTGAGCGAGATGATGAAGATGACTACGCGCCAAGTCCACACAATTACCGAGAAAGACACCATAGCGAACGTACTCGCTGGAGGGATTCAGAAGAATCTTACGACCGGTTCGAGGTGGAAAACCGCCGCAACCGTCGTGAGCCTCGTGCAAGGAATCTAGATCCCCGATCTGTCCGGCCCAGTCTACACCATCCGGACAGCTCCTTCCATCAGGCCAGCAGCTTCTCTGCTCCGCCGCCTCCTCCTCCAAGACATGTAGACCACTCCTGCCACCGACGCGGTTCAACATACTCAGACGACGACGACGATGCAACTTACTCCGATCACAGACCTGGCGCCCCCACAGCCGCATTGTCAGACATAGCATCTCGACCCAGCTCCTCCCACTCCGACCGCCTCTCCCGCGTCCCCACAGCCGTAGACTCAGAAGATTACCATTCGCCACCTCCTGCAGTACCTTCACCACCACCTCTATTCCGTCGGCATCGGGACAGCGGCAGTGACTACGCCCCCATGCCCGGCGCCTTCCGCAGTGTGAGCAGAAGTCGAAGTAGAAGTCCCTATGAACCAGTAAGGGGCGGAAGAAACCGGAGTCCTTACATGTCATCTCCTGTTCGTAGGACACCTGTTAGAAAAGGGAGGGGGATTGGGAGGTATAGGAGTGACAGTGATGATAATGGTGTAGCGGAGGGGAGTGACTATCTTCCTAGCGATAGCGAGGATGATGAGCGGATTAGTGGGGGTGGGAATGGCGTGGCGGAGGGAAGTGACTATGCTTCTAGCGATGACGGGCGGAGTGATGTTTGTGAAAAGGATAGCTGGGGTGCTAGGGTTGCTCGTGTTGAGAAGGGAGGCACTGGTGGGAGGGCGTATGGGAAGATGTGGTAATGATATTGGGAACGGTGTGCATGAGGATGATGGGATGAAGCTTGACGAAACGATGTAAATGTGTAACGACTTGGTAATATGATAGTTCTTTCCTATTCCATTCCTAGGTGTGGTGGGACGACACCACTACCATTGCAGTAACATCTCGTTCATCGAATACGGATTCACGTCGTATACACAATCGTACAATTGCCTTGCTCCGCCTAATGCATGCTGGTAACCAGACAATCCAAAGTACCTCACTTTGTCATATGATACAATGCCTCATTCCTCCTCTCGTTCATGTGTTTCTAAGCACTGACTGTCGTCGCCTCCGTAGCATCAGACACACCCGCCTCAGCCAAAACTTGCTCTGGCTTAAGCTCAGCCGTCGACATGGGTCCCTTCGGCCACGGCTTCCCCCTCGCATCCTGAACACGGATGATCTGGTTCTTCGGTCCAGGAACACAACCTGTAAACACCCATTAGTACCTACTCATCCATAATCGTACTTTCATCATACCTTGAACAACCACAATACCATTCGGCTCGTCAACCTGCAACACCCTCAAGTTCTTGACCGTCACACTCTCGTTTCCCATGTTACCCGCCATACGCTTTCCAGGCAACACACGAGAACCCGAACCCTGGGAACCTCCGGCAGAACCCATACCACGATGCATGAGCGATTGACCGTGAGAAGCAGGTTGACCACCGAAGCCATGTCGTTTCATGCCCTGCACAAATTACCCGTTAGCATTCCATCCCAACTAGCATCACCCGTCCTCAAGAACAGATAGAGATCCAAAACTTACACCAGCGAATCCCATGCCCCTACTTATCGCCTTGACATCCACCCACTGCCCCTTTGTAAACCACCCCGCACCCACCATCTCCCCTACACTCACACCCAATCCCTCCTCATCCCTAACCTTGAACTCAACAACCCACCTCTTGGGACTCACGCCCGCACCAGCGAAATGCCCCAACATAGGCCTCGTCACATTCCGCGCTTCTTTCTGCCCAGCCCCGATCTGAACAGCCCAGTACCCGTTGATATCTCTCCGCTTATGCGCAACGACTTCATTACGGTCGAGTTGCAGAACTGTGCATGCTGTCCGCTTCCCTGTTTCGGGCTCGTAGATAGATGTCATGCCCTTTTTCAAAGCGAGCAGACCGGTTCGCAGGGGCGTGCTGTGGGCTTTTCGCTCGAGTGCGGCCGTCGATGTGCTGGTGAGGGCTTCTCGCGCGGGGTGATGTGCGAAACGGTCGGGTTTGGGACCGAAGGTAGATTTTATGGTTCGGATCGATGTGTATGCGATGGCGGGTCTTGAGGAGATTTGTTGCGCATTTTGCTGGAGGAGGCAGCGCGCTGATGAGGGGAGGAGGAAGGAGGGTGGTATTAAACCCCAATTGAGGGGCGCTTTGGGCGGCATTGTGGTCGTGGTGTTGTTGGGTTGGAGATGCGGCGCTGGCTTGTTCGCCGCGGATATTTTGAGATTCCCCGTCTGAAGCTCAGATTCGGCGCACGGGCTATGCTGCGCACGTGTAGTCCTGTTCACGGTCAGAATCTGAGCTAGGCTCAATGTACACTAGTATATCATGGCGGGGTAATCGCAGTCATGGAACATGCATATCCACCCGCGAGCAGGGCAAATTCAGCACATCTGTTCGAGGAAATGCAGTTATTGGTGGAAGCGACCGCGTGTAGGAGATGTTATGTTTTTGAGCTTTTAGAGCCATGTCCAGCAGGCGCAAGGTACCAAGATACAAGGAGACTATACAAGTCAGATACCACCCGTGCTCAACGTACCACTATATACTGGTTCCTCTCTCCTCTCCATAAATAGCAAGAAATTTTAGCAATGGGTATCCTCCAGTTGTAGAAACGCCGAAACTCCTGCACCACACAGTGGCGCTTAATATGACATACATGACCCATATCAAATAGGTTGACTCAACCTCCACATCTCCTCAGCGCAACAAAACGTCTAAAACGACGATAGGGGCGCAAGGTGTTGTCATACTACACAACTTAGAACACACTAGTGGCGGGGTTCCCTTGCACGATGCAATTGGCGGGAAAAGACTACGCGAGGTCAGTATAAAAGTGCTTGAACAAATATGGAGGTGATGAACTTACGCTTAAAACCACAGAACCCGGACGCACTATGGTGTTAGGACCGATCTGAACTCCAGCCGCGATCATGCAGTGATCACCAATGTACACGTTCTCTCCGATAAGGACCTCCTGCGCAACCTCTGTGCCGCCGTTGCTGCCTTTCGGGGATTTTGTATCGGTCGGCGTCTTCAGAGTCTGTATAGTGACTCGAACCCCAATCTTGCAGTTCCTTCCGATGGCAATCCTCGCCGAGTCATGAAAACGACAATCAGCGCCGATGACGACATTCTCACCCAAACTCAGATGGTAGCCGTAGTCGCAAGCAAAGGGCGCAGCAACATGACAGGTCTCAGCCATATGAGTTTCGATTCGTCTCCCTTCCTCACCTCTCTTACCCGCGTTCAGGATTTGTTTGAAAAAGTGGTCGACCGTGTGACTCGATAGAACGTTGGAAGGGTTAACTTTGCCGTTGAAATAAGATTGTGCTTGCGCGCTCAAATGACGCTCTTGCATCAAGGCCTTGTCAAAGGGGTTGAATGGCTCTCCAGCAAGCATCTTGTCTTTTTCAGACCTGTACATGGTCGATGTAGACGACGAGGAGTAGCGCGTTGGTGAACGTGTAGGTGGCAAGGATGTTGGTGGTGGAGGAGGAGGCTGATGCTGCGGTGCCACATGCAGCTGCTGGATAGGCTTGGCGGCCCTAGACATGTGTTAGCTGATGAAGTCCGGTGCGTCCAAATTCAGGTCGAATATCAAACACATGAGATAGACACGATCTGATGTCGAAAAGTTGTTGACAATTCGGTCGGTTCCCAATCAGAAGAAAATACTCACATGGTGGTAGGGACAGCAGTGTTGATAGCGAGATGAGTCGTGCTCGGCGGAGCATGGTGATAACCACGAGAACTGTGGTGTGGCTGCTGTTGCTGTTGAGGTACAGGTCTATGGTCCAGGCTTGAAGGCCTTTCATAGTGGTTGACCGCAGGTTGCATGTACTGTACTGATGGTGGTGGTGGCGGCGGCTCTGGCTGGTAGGCAGCTCGGACTGGCGGCGGTGCAGGCGCAGAGTCACTCCAAGGTTTCCATGACTTGCGATCGATACTGTTGGTTGAATGCATCTCAGAGGGTGTGTATGACACTTCAGAGCTGTGAGGTGGTCTGCAGTGAGGTGTGTGCGTTTCTTGACAAGTTGGGCACGTAGGGTAGGCAGCGAGCTTGTCCTTGGCTATCAGTGCAGGTGGTTTGGCGGGTCCATTCTTCGGCCAAGGTACCTTGTTGGCATAGCCTTCACAGACAAAGCCACCGCGTGTGCAGTTGTTGCCTGCTAGAGGTCAGACTTGGTCAGAACAGGAAGCCATTTTCAAACGTACATTCTGGTTTGGCCTCGTCGCACTTCTTCTTCCTCCTACGGCATGTTCCACAGCCAGTCTTGGTGCGGTTGGCAAATTGCTGTGGAGGTTAGTATTGGTCAGGGGTTAGGCTCAGGGTACATACCCGTTTCCGCTTCTTGAGCTCGACCTGTACACCAGCCCGCGTGAACTCAGTCTCTTCGATCATGTCACGGCTAAGAGACTGCGAATCAGGAGACATTTCATTGGTGCGGGTGTGCTCGATAGGACGCGATTCATGGCGTTGGAAATGCTGATGGGCTGCGTGAGGCAATTCACGGGGCTCGGTTTGCCAGCGTCGTTCAGCGTCTGGACGACCTAGTGGAGGCAGAGTCGGTAGTGGAGGGGCTTCCATGCTCATGGTTGTGTTGCGGTTCAAGGGCTGGTATGGAAGTGGAAGTTGCCTGGGGCCAGCGGTCCTCTGATCAGGGCTGTGTTGGCCGTAGGCGTCTTCTTCGGAGCCGGAGCGTCTTCTCTTATTTGGGTGTTCAGGAGAAGACCTTGTCTTGTCTGAACTATCAGGAGATCGATCTCCACTGCCAACAGTGGACGAACTCGTGTCGCTCTCTGGGGAGCGGGAGTGATGTTTGGGCTCAAGATCTGGGGAGACGGGACTCCAGGCAGAAGGTTTGGCGGCAACGGCTGGCTTCTTCTCGTCGGGCGGGCTCAGAGACAATCGACCATTGACGGAAGTAAACGCAGGGCCATGGGGAGCGGAATTAAAGGCGGGCATATGCAGTATGGTCGACATGTCCAAGGCGGGATATCAGAGCTGGGGGTCAAGGCTGGATAGTCTACGGAGTCAAGTCGAATCTACGGCGGGCTATGGGGAGGGTGTCCAGCGACCATAATCTTGGTGTCTCGTTGGGGTCGTGGGATTCTTTGCAGTGACGATCTTGAGTGATGCCGGGGACGACGTCGTGGTTACACTGTAGCGTACTCGGAGTAAGATGAGTTCAACGGTCAGGTCAGGCACCGTGCGGGACTCGACGACTGGTGGCCCGGGAGTCGTCTGTGCTCTTCAGAATCAGTGTGTGCGTAGAGGGAGGATCCCGGGGTTGGCAGCGCGGGCGTGGTGTCGTTCGGGCGATGCGATGCCAGCGAAGCCGCCTCTCCACGGCGGGGGCTGTATATGGCGGGAAGACAGTATATGGCGCGACGAATGTGGGAGGGGCGACCCGACGCCAGACGCTGGCCACGGATGAGCAACAGGATTCAACGGAGGGCGGCTGTTCGCTCCTTCTGCTGGCGCACACATGGGCTCTACACATCCCGGGCGGCCACCCATGTCGTCCCTTCCTCATTGGCCCGAGCTGCAGGCGGCCCCTGCCCCCCGCGTTTATCTGTCCCACCCGGGCTGGCACAGAACCATCACCGAACACCTCGTAGAAGGACCACAGACGCGGTTCCTTCGACTATCTACATAATAGACCCTGCATTTTGGCCGCTGCCACGTTTTTTTGGCGGAAAAGTCGCGTCTACAGCCCTACAGCCGTTTTCTGGGTGTGAAGGAGGGTAGAGTGGGCGGAGAGGCCTCCAGGATGGCACAGACGGCTGCGTGCGACCAGCGCTCCCGGCGTGCTGGCATGCGAGGTTGATCGACCAGGAATCGTTAGAAGGATGCAAGCCAACGCGGAAACCTCACATTAAAGTGCTGTGTCGTTGTTATTGGCGCTGCCCAAACCTTAGCTTATCCACCTGCTCCATCGCCAAACGCAGTAGCCGCGCTGCACGCCCGCGCACCACCAAACTCTTCACCAGACCGCGGCACCGCAGCCTGCCCGACACATAGCGAGCACACAAAACAGTGGCAGCCCCCGCCTGACGTCGCCCGCGACGCCTGCGATGACGGCTGCGAATCACTCCCTCCTCACCACCACGCGCTGCGTATCGCCCGGCCTCCCGCGCGCTTCCATCAAGGGGTGCCGTCATGGCCCATCGGCACTGCCTCCTCCTAACCGCCTGCTCAGAGGCCTGCTGGGTGCCTGCCTCCGCCGGTTTCAAGGCCAGCACCAAACAAGAAGGCGCTCATGGGTCTCGCCGTGTTTCATTTATCAGATCCACGCCGCACACCTTCCCACCACGCCCACCCGTCCTATGCCCTTAGCATCATCAATATGCTCGGCTGCGGCACTGCCATAGGCCTAATGCTTGTGCTGCGCTCCATGTCCAAGTCGCGAGTGCCACTGTCTGCTGCGTGATACCCTCCATGGTTGGCTGCCCGGCCCGTCTCGTACACCTTCATCTATGGGCGCTTCGCGTGCAAACTTTGCTCGCCAGGAACCCGCCCGCTCAATATGGTCAAACCTCCACCACTACCTACGTCAAGAGCCGCGATGTCTGTCCTCGGCTAATTGGCAGGTGCGCAACTTACCCGTTGTATGCTGTACGGAGCACTGTCTGACTCTCACGCGTTGCTCGACGATCGGTCATGCGTCTGAGCAACCCCGGTGCGTCAGCCAATAGCACCTCACCAGTTTCGCCACGCATTGCACACGAAATAACGCCTCGTTAAGCGCGGCCGTTTGTCGGCTGCGACTTGTCGTTGTAACTCACTGCAAATGTGCTTCGAGTTGTGCGTGCGCAGCTTGTTCACAATTCCATCAGTCCGTCTCGCTGGTTCTCGCGGCGCGTTCCGTTCCCGCTAGCGATCAGACAAAGACCTGGACCTGCGCCGCAGGCCGTACGGCATTGTCCTCACAGCTGTGCCGCCCGCTGGATTTCCAATCCGCTGGATTCCAAGAACGGCTCAGCCCTTGCCATGGTGCTCACGGAGCTGACGTCTGCTCTCTCTCAGCCTCGCCTCATCCTTCCGCTATATGACTCGAGTAGCGACGGGAAGCGCGGAACAGCGCGCTTGTCACCAACGTCTACATACGCCGCCCACCTCCGTGCCAAATCTCGATTCTCCATTCATATTGATTGTGGAGCGCCACCTTCCGTGACCAACCTGACTGCGATGATGCCTTACCGGATTATGCATTCATCTGGACCTGTTATGCAAACTCACATGATCACGCCTGCTGTTGACGTCGTCGCTGGGTCCCAAAACAAATACCCACGGTCGCACTAACCCATCACGAGCATTAACAACATGCAACAGCTCAAGACTGCTCACCGCGGTACTCGCGCTCTTTTCGCCGAAGAGATCCGGCAGTTCTCCAGACACGGCCTCACCGACAGGATCCGAAGGATTCCTCTTCGGTAAAGTGTTGCGGCATGAGTCGAATGTGGTCCAGTTTTTGTGTAGTGTGCTATGCTCAAGCTTGACAGCTTCACGACACCAGCAACCTTTCGACACTAAGATTTTCAACCCACAAACCGATACTCGATTGCCACGTTGGACATGTAGTCCAGCAACGGTGCTTCGCGCAATCTACCCATTCGGCCATTGCAGCTCGGGATGCGAGCATGCCGGGCTGCGGCACAGTTCGTGAGCAATTCCGATTACGTATGCGGCGTTGGCAGGATGCATAGACCAGACGGATTACCAACGCACCTCCCCGGCGTGAGTTGTTGGGATCGATCAAGAATTTTGATGTACTGGCGAGGGAACTACTGGTGAACTCATCGTTTCCCGACAACATGGTACCGACTGTTCGCTTCAACCGATTCCGCAACTTTCGCATCAGACAAAGACTACTGAAAACTGCGTTTCTAGCGAACGGATTCGGAGCAAACTGGTGTAACGTACTGGATGCTGATTGCAGGATCGCGCGCTAGTACACGACGATTACTCCGAAGTCCGCCCTTTTGCAGCCAGACGAGCCCTTCCAATGTTTACGCCCGGCAGGTGAACAGCACGCCAGGCTCCCGGATAAGCAAAGCCTATCGAGATATGTAAGGGGTTATTTACGCCCTGTCCGTGCCGCATGTACCAAGCTGTCGGGACATGCGGTGATGCACTTTGGAGACGAGCATACTTTAGCATTCACCTTGCCTACTCGATTTGGACAATGCCAATCTGACACCCAGAAGGAAGATTATTGAAACATCAATTACACGACCAGCTTCGACTACGATAAAACGTCATAGTCTCTATGCGCCGCTTGACGTGGGCGAGTCAGCGCTTACCGAAGCGCTTAAGGTTTCACAAGATGCGTAGACAACTGCCGGCCGCTTTGAACCGACATCCTCACTCTGGCGACACGCGGTGTGACGGATCCGCATAATGTGAGATCTCACCCGCGCATCGATCGTCCAATCAAATAAGAAGGACGTCCGATTCTACCATTCTACGTTCCGGGTATTGATCGTTGGCGTCGCCGTCATACCGAGCATCCGAAATGTCACTTAGGGTTGCAATTCTTAGGATCGGGATTCTGTCCTCAGCGAAGGGTTCAAAGCTGCGTGTTCACTGTTTAGCATATGCTGACTTCAAGGGATATCCTAACACAAGTGAGTCGGTCCGAAATCTGATTACAGATGCGATAGACGTACGATACAGACGCGATGCAGGTTCCCAACATCTGTTGGTACCCAAATATGACACGCCATTACTCGTCACACCGCCAAAAACTGAACATTGTCACCGGACACTTGGGAGGTGTGGAGACGATCATCAGATAGGCAATTAGTATATGCGGTGTTGCAGCTCATTGTCAACATCCTGGACAACACTAACGGCGTAGCTTAATATAGAACGCAACGGTATTCGGAAGCTAAGTAATCCGTTCTCGAATGTCAGGGCCGACTGGTTGTCGGGAACACCATACCATTAGTCAGAAGGTTCGAAGAATTCTCCTAAAAGGGTTATGCGCAAGTTTACCGTCGACACCCTGTGGTCAGGCTTTTCATATCGCTTCAACAACGTACTTTGATCGCCAACTGCTTTACTATGGTACCCGAAACTCTCTGATTTCCATTACTCATACGCTAGGTGTACATCATCTCGTCCCCCTGAGGCACGTCCTCGCCGTCTATGAAGAGTGACACTCGACTTGATTACCAAACAAATATGCCGCCATCAAACTAGAATCTCGGTCTTGGGGACATGGCTATGCTCTACTCCCAATAGTAGTCTTGGACGATATTCCCAGCGGTAAGGCTCAAACGCTCGCTACCTCCACAATGACTGTCGCTTTGGTTCCATAACGGAGAAGTCGGTCGAACGCTTCATACTGTCACACACACCCACCCAAGGTACCATTAACCAAACCACACTTCGACTTCGTGGAAAAAGGATAGCCTGCATACTCAAATATTGAGATCAGAACGGGCTGGAATATAACCAGTAGAAG